CTTCTTTTTCATCAATTTATTTGCTCTGCTTGGCGTTTGATGACGTATAAAATTACACCTTAAATGAATTCAAAAGACTATTTTAAGTGATATCTTTGAAATCATGAACTTGAAAGACAGTTAAAGTGCGGGTTTCATAAAAGGTTAAAATCCAAAATTGGTATCAAAATGTTCTAAGATGACGACAATAAGAAAAACGAGTAAACTTATATTAGTAATAGGTGTGACAATAATCTATCAGAAACGACTAGTTAACAAAAAAAAAGCTAAATGGATAAGAGGAAATTTTGAAAAGAATATGACAGTTTGAAAGTGTGGTGACATAGTATCAAAAAATACAAAAATATTTTGCAAAAGCTGGATCAGAACACGGAAAAGCAGTCTTTGTTTTTCTCTGCTTGCCTCTTCTTAGATATTGTTAAAAACAACTTCCTATTTTTTAAAATCAATTATCTAAGCTCAATTTTTGTTTTTAGTTGATTGTTCAGGTATGCTTCGCTCGCACAGTACTTTGTGATTAAAAAAGTTAATGTTATTATCGCACCCTACTGCAAGCCCAGTTTTTCATTTGGCGCCAGTTTTAGGTTTGTAATTGGACGGATGTATTTTTATACTCTTATTGAAATATATCATTTCATATTTTTCTTATGTTTAGTTATTTTGTGCAATTAAAGCTCAAATTTTTAGCCCATTTTGTTGGTCATTTCAAATTGGGCTCCAAATACAACAAAACTCGTCACAACTATCTAAAAAAAAAAACTTGTTTCAAAAATGTTTCTTTAAACGCATGGTAGTAGAATTCATGAAACACATTATAAATCAAACAAACATCCAGACAAACATTTTTTCCTATTTACGGCATCTTCAATAAAGTATTGTAGAATTTTGATTTAAAAAAGCATTTATTTATGAAGCTTCCTATCAATAAATTTAACAGAAATATTTAAAGTTTACCATAATCAAAGCAAATTAATTTTAGTTCGATTTACGTACAACAAATTTTTCTAATTTGGCGGAATATTAAATCACTATTGCAAACTGAATTTCCAGCCCGGCTTCTTTCAAGTAAAAATTTCCTCAGAGTAGTGGTTTTTTCCAGCGTTGATGCATCTGAAGACATAAACCAAATTCAATCAAAAACATCCTATAAAGTGACGTTTTAGTAGAAACGGTTGGAGGATTTTTTTTTATAGAAGACACGGGTTACAAAGCCAGAAAAAACCTTGGGTATCCTGTCGGTAAATTAGAGAGTCCAGGCAACACTCGAGATCTTGACTGGGAGCCATTTAAAAACCCTGCCAAGAATTTTAAGATTTTTTTTCCAAAGTTAAATAAAAACACGTTTTAACAAAAAATTCTGAAAAAAGCATGTGAAAAGGATGTAAATTCATTGCTCGTTCTTTCTTTGATCCAATCATCCTCCAAAAAGTAACAAAAAAAAATTAAAAAAAGTGAATGATCAACTCTTTTTTGACTAAAAAACAAGGTTTGTTTCTTGTTTGAGTAAAAATTTCAAGCAATTGAGTCGAAAAGAATCTTGAGAAAAGTTTCTCAACTCAGTTGATCTCACAAACTTTATAATAAGGATAACCTAAAAACTCTTTCAACGAAGCTTGATACTTGTAAAACAAAACTCATTGGAAAGAAAGAATAAAACCCAATATTTGAAAACAGAAGTTGGAAGAGATACCAGCACTCACCCGCTTAAGTGGATGACGCATGAGCAAACTGTGCTTAGTAGAACTAATCATTTAATCACATATTAATGGCAAACCTAGAGAGAAACCTTCATAAAATAGTTTTTCTGTAGCGGTATGTCACATAACACAAAGTGACAAAGCCAGTCAAGGTAGTAATTATCGACGGAAGATATGACTTCAGCTTTTGAGCCGACGCAAACTGAACTTGCTGAAAATTTTGGGGATTATCAATAATTTCAGCAGCGTAATCGTAATCAGCACTGCTACCCGAGGCACCTGGACCAATAAGAGAAGTAGTGGTTGGGCCAATCGGATTGGCACTGAAGGGAGGACTAGTCGGCATAGGAGAAGGAGTGCCTCCAAAACCACCCCCAAGAGTAGTGCTGCTTCCTTGTCCAGTTGCTCCTGTCGGAGAGGCACCAGAGATTGCACCAGGTGGGCCAATTGATCGTCCAGAACCAACTGGGTTAGTTGATCCAGCTCCAGATGGCCCACTCGTTGCAGGTCCAGATGGGCCATTTGATGGTCCAGAACCAACTGGGTTAGTTGATCCAGCTCCAGATGGCCCACTCGTTGCAGGTCCAGATGGGCCATTTGATGGTCCAGAACCAACTGGGTTAGTTGATCCAGCTCCAGATGGGCCACTCGTTGCAGGTCCAGATGGTCCATTTGATGGTCCAGAACCAACTGGGTTAGTTGATCCAGCTCCAGATGGCCCACTCGTTGCAGGTCCAGATGGGCCATTTGATGGCCCAGAACCAACTGGGTTAGTTGATCCACCTCCAGATGGGCCACTCGTTGCAGGTCCAGATGGGCCATTTGATGGTCCAGAACCAACTGGGTTAGTTGATCCACCTCCAGATGGGCCACTCGTTGCAGGTCCAGATGGGCCATTTGATTGTCCAGAACCAACTGGGTTAGTTGATCCAGCTCCAGATGGGCCAATTGTTGCAGGTCCAGAAGGGCCATTCGATGGTCCAGAACCAACTGGGTTAGTTGATCCAGCTCCAGATGGGCCAATCGTTGCAGGTCCAGATGGGCCATTTGATGGTCCAGAACCAACTGGGTTAGTTGATCCAGCTCCAGATGGGCCAATCGTTGCAGGTCCAGATGGGCCATTTGATGGTCCAGAACCAACAGGGTTAGTTGATCCAGCTCCAGATGGGCCACTCGTTGCAGGTCCAGTTGGACCATTTGATGGTCCAGAACCAACTGGGTTAGTTGATCCAGCTCCAGATGACCCACTCGTTGCTGGTCCAGATGGGCCATTTGATGGTCCAGAACCAACTGGGTTAGTTGATCCAGCTCCAGATGGGCCACTCGTTGCAGGTCCAGATGGGCCATTTGATGGTCCAGAACCAACTGGGTTAGTTGATCCAGCTCCAGATGGGCCAATTGTTGCAGGTCCAGAAGGGCCATTTGATGGTCCAGAACCAACTGGGTTTGTTGATCCAGCTCCAGATGGGCCAAATGTTGCAGGTCCAGAAGGGCCATTCGATGGTCCAGAACCAACTGGGTTAGTTGATCCAGCTCCAGATGGGCCAATCGTTGCAGGTCCAGATGGGCCATTTGATGGTCCAGAACCAACTGGGTTAGTTGATCCAGCTCCAGATGGGCCAATCGTTGCAGGTCCAGATGGGCCATTTGATGGTCCAGAACCAACAGGGTTAGTTGATCCAGCTCCAGATGGGCCACTCGTTGCAGGTCCAGATGGGCCATTTGATGGTCCAGAACCAACTGGGTTAGTTGATCCAGCTCCAGATGGGCCAATCGTTGCAGGTCCAGATGGGCCATTTGATGGTCCAGAACCAACAGGGTTAGTTGATCCAGCTCCAGATGGGCCACTCGTTGCAGGTCCAGTTGGGCCATTTGATGGTCCAGAACCAACTGGGTTAGTTGATCCAGCTCCAGATGACCCACTCGTTGCAGGTCCAGAAGGGCCATTTGATGGTCCAGAACCAACTGGGTTTGTTGATGCAGCTCCAGATGGCCCACTCGTTGCAGGTCCAGATGGGCCATTTGATGGTCCAGAACCAACTGGGTTAGTTGATCCAGCTCCAGATGGGCCAATTGTTGCAGGTCCAGAAGGGCCATTCGATGGTCCAGAACCAACTGGGTTAGTTGATCCAGCTCCAGATGGGCCACTCGTTGCAGGTCCAGATGGGCCATTTGATGGTCCAGAACCAATTGGGTTAGTTGATCCACCTCCAGATGGACCACTCGTTGCAGGTCCAGATGGGCCATTTGATGGTCCAGAACCAACTGGGTTAGTTGATCCAGCTCCAGATGGGCCAACTGTTGCAGGTCCAGAAGGGCCATTTGATGGTCCAGAACCAACTGGGTTAGTTGATCCAGCTCCAGATGGGCCAATCGTTGCAGGTCCGGATGGGCCATTTGATGGTCCAGAACCAACTGGGTTAGTTGATCCAGCTCCAGATGGGCCAATCGTTGCAGGTCCAGATAGGCCATTCGATGGACCAGAAACAACTGGGTTAGTTGATCCAGCTCCAGATGGGCCAATCGTTGCAGGTCCAGATGGGCCATTTGATGGTCCAGAACCAATTGGGTTAGTTGATCCAGCTCCAGATGAGCCAATCGTTGCAGGTCCAGACGTGCCATTTGATGGTCCAGAACCAACTGGGTTAGTTGATCCAGCTCCAGATGGCCCACTCGTTGCAGGTCCAGATGGTCCATTTGAAGGTCCAGAACCAACTGGGTTAGTTGATCCAGCTCCAGATGGGCCATTAGATCCAGTAGCTGGTACGGCAGATCCAGTTGTTGCTCCAGGTCCTCCAGATGGACCATTAGATCCAGTAGCTGGTACGGGTGAGCCAGTTGTTGCTCCAGGTCCTCCAGATGGGCCACTAGATCCAGTAGCTGGTACGGCAGAGCCAGTCGTTGCTCCAGGCCCTCCAGATGGGCCACTAGATCCAGTAGCTGGTACGGCGGAGCCAGTCGTTGGTCCAGGTCCTCCAGATGGGCCACTAGATCTAGTAGCTGGTACGGCAGAGCCAGTCGTTGGTCCAGGTCTTCCAGATGGGCCATTAGATCCAGTAGCAGGTACGGCAGATCCAGTTGTTGTTCCAGGTCCTCCAGATGGGCCACTAGATCCAGTAGCTGGTACGGCGGAGCCAGTCGTTGGTCCAGGTCCTCCAGATGGGCCATTAGATCCAGTAGCTGGTACGGGAGAGCCGGTCGTTGCCACAGGTCCTCCAGATGGGCCACTAGATCCAGTAGCTGGTACGGCAGAGCCTGTAGAAGCTCCAGGCCCGCCAGATAACCCACTAGATCCAGTAGCTGTTACAGCAGAGGCAGTCGTTGCTCCAGGTCCTCCGGATGGGCCACTAGATCCAGTAGCTGGTACGGCAGAGCCTGTCGATGCTCCAGGGCCGCCAGATGGCCAATTAGATCCAGTAGCTGGTACGACAGAGCCACTCGTTGCTCCAGGTACTCCAGATGAGCCACTAGATCCAGTAGCTGGTACGGTAGAGCCATTCGTTGGTACAGGCCCTCCAGATGGGCCAGTAGATCCAGTAGCTGGTACGGCAGAGCCAGTCGTTGCCCCAGGTACTCCAGATGGGCCACTAGATCCAGTAGCTGGTACGGCAGAGCCTGTAGATGCTCCAGGCCCGCCAGATGGTCCATTAGATCTAGTAGCTGGTACGACAGAGCCTGTCGATGCTCCAGGCCCGCCAGATGGCACATTAGATCCAGTAGCTGGTACCGCAGAGCCTGTCGATGCTCCAGGTCCTCCAGATGGGCCATTAGATCCTGTAGCTGGTATGGCAGAGCCAGTCGTTGCTCCAGGTCCTCCAGATGGGCCACTAGATCCAGTAGCTGGTACGGCAGAGCCTGTCGATGCTCCAGGCCCGCCAGATGGCACATTAGATCCAGTAGCTGGTACCGCAGTGCCAGTCGTTGCTCTAGGTCCTCCAGATGGGCCACTAGATCCAGTAGCTGGTACGGCAGAGCCAGTCGTTGCTCTAGGTCCTCCAGATGGGCCACTAGATCCAGTAGCTGGTACGGCAGAGCCAGTCGTTGCTCCAGGTCCTCCAGATGGGCCATTAGATCCAGTAGCTGGCACGGCAGAGCCAGTCGTTGCTCCAGGCCCTCCAGGTGTTGTTGTTTTTGGCGATGTTTGGGCTGCAGTCGTTGTTTTCGGTGACGTTGGAGCCGCTGTTGTTGTAATCAGCGATGTTTGGGTTGCAGTCGTTGTTTTTGGCGATGGTTGGGATATTGTCATTGTTTTCGGCGATGTTGGGGCTGCTGTTGTTGTAATCGGCATTGTTTGGGCAGCAGTCGTTGTTTTCGGTGATATTGAAGCTGCTGTTGTTGTAACCGGCGATGTTTGGACTGCAGTCGTCGTTTTCGGTGATCTTGAAGCTGATGTTGTTGTAACTGGCGATGTTTGCGCTGCAGTTGTTGTTTTCGGTGATGTTGGAGCTGCTGTTGTTGTAATCGGCGTTGTTTGGGCTGCAGTCAAAGTGTTTTGCGTTGTTTGGGCTACTGTGGTTGTTTTTGGTGATATTTGAACTGCTGTTGTTGTAACCGGCGATGTTTGCGCTACAGTTGTTGTTTTCGGTGATGTTGGAGCTGCTGTTGTTGTAATCGGCGATGTTTGGGCTGCAGTCAATGTTTTTTGCGACGTTTGGGCTACTGTGGATGTTTTTGGTGATGTTTGAGCTGCTGTTGTTGTAATCGGCAATGTGTGGGCCGGAGTTGTTGTTTTCAGTGATATTGAAGCTGCCGTTGTTGTAACCGGCAATGTTTGGGCTGCAGTCGTTGTTTTTGGCGATATTTGGGCTACTGATGTTGTTTTTGGCAATGTTTGTGCTACTGTTGTTGTATTCGGTGATGCGGGGGCTGCAGTTACTGTATTCGGTGATGTTTGGGCTGCAGCCGTTGTTTTTAGCGATGTTGGATATGCTGTTGTTGTAACCGGCGTTGTTTGGACTGCAGTTATTGTTTTTGGCGATGTTTGGGCTAATGTTGTTGTAATCGGCGTTATTTGGATTGCAGTCGTTGTTTTTGGCGATGTTTGGGCTGGTGTTGTTGTAATCAGCGATGTTTGCACTGCAGTAGTTGTTTTCGGTGATATTGCAAGTGATGTTGTTGTAACCGGCGATGTTTGCGCTGCAGTAGTTGTTTTCAGTGATGTTGGAGCTCCTGTTGTTGTAATCGGCGTTGTTTGGATTGCAGTTGTTTTTGGCGATGTTGGGGCTGCTGTTGTTGTAATCGGCATTGTTTGCGCAGCAGTCGTTGTTTTCGGTGATATTGAAGCTGCTGTTGTTGTAATCGGCGATGTTTGGGCTGCCGTCGTTGTCTTCGGTGATGTTGGGGCTACTGTCGTTGTATTCGGTGATGTTGGGGCTACTGTCGTTGTATTCGGTGATGTTGTGGCTACTGTCGTTGTATTCGGCGATGTTGGGGCTACTGTCATTGTCTTCGGTGATGTTGGGGCTACTGTCAATGTGTTCGGTGATGTTGGTGCTACTGTCGTTGTTTTCGGTAATGTGGAGGCTACTGTCGTTGTCTTCGGTGATGTTAGGGTTACTGTCGTTGTATTCGGTGATGTTGGGGCTATTGTCGTTGTATTCGGTGGTGTTTTGGCTACTGTCGTTGTATTCGGTGATGTTGGGGCTACTGTCGTTGTGCTCGATGATGTTGGGGCTACTGTCGTTGTGCTCGGTGATGATGGGGCTATTGTCGTTGTCTTCGGTGATGTTGGGGCTACTGTCGTTGTATTCGGTGATGTTGGGGCTACTGTCGTTGTCTTCGGTGATGTTGGGGCTACTGTCGTTGTATTCGGTGATGTTGGGGCTACTATCGTTGTATTCGGTGATGTTGGGGCTACTGTCGTTGTCTTCGGTGATGTTGGGGCTAATGTCGTTGTATTCGGTGATGTTGGGGCTACTGTCGTTGTATTCGGTGATGTTGGGGCTACTGTCGTTGTATTCGGTGATGTTGGGGCTACTGTTGTTGTCTTCGGTGATGTTGGGGCTACTGTCGTTGTATTCAGTGATGTTGGGGCTACCGTCGTTGTCTTCGGTGATGTTGGGGCTACTGTCGTTGTCTTTGGTGATGTTGGGGCTACTGTCGTTGTGCTCGGTAATATTGGAGCTACTGTCGTTGTATTCGGTGATGTTGGGGCTATTGTCGTTGTATTCGGTGATGTTTTGGCTACTGTCGTTGTATTCGGTGATGTTGGGGCTACTGTCGTTGTCTTCGGTGATGTTGGGGCTACTGTCGTTGTATTCGGTGATGTTGGGGCTACTGTCGTTGTCTTCGGTGATGTTGGGGCTACTGTCGTTGTATTCGGTGATGTTGGGGCTACTATCGTTGTATTCGGTGATGTTGGGGCTACTGTCGTTGTCTTCGGTGATGTTGCGGCTAATGTCGTTGTATTCGGTGATGTTGGGGCTACTGTCGTTGTATTCGGTGATGTTGGGGCTACTGTCGTTGTATTCGGTGATGTTGGGGCTACTGTTGTTGTCTTCGGTGATGTTGGGGCTACTGTCGTTGTATTCAGTGATGTTGGGGCTACCGTCGTTGTCTTCGGTGATGTTGGGGCTACTGTCGTTGTCTTTGGTGATGTTGGGGCTACTGTCGTTGTGCTCGGTAATATTGGAGCTACTGTCGTTGTATTCGGTGATGTTGGGGCTATTGTCGTTGTATTCGGTGATGTTTTGGCTACTGTCGTTGTATTCGGTGATGTTGGGGCTACTGTCGTTGTCTTCGGTGATGTTGGGGCTACTGTCGTTGTCTTCGGTGATGTTGGGGCTACAGTCGTTGTGCTTGGTGATGTTGGGGCTACTGTCGTTGTCTTCGGTGATGTTGGGGCTACTGTCGTTGTGCTCGGTGATGTTGGGGCTACTGTCGTTGTCTTTGGTGATGTTGGGGCTACTGTCGTTGTATTCGGTGATGTTGGGGCTACTGTCGTTGTATTCGGTGATGTTGGGGCTACTGTCGTTGTATTCGGTGATGTTGGGGCTACTGTCGTTGTATTCGGTGATGTTGGGGCTACTGTCGTTGTGCTCGGTGATGTTGGGGCTACTGTCGTTGTCTTCGGTGATGTTGGGGCTACTGTCGTTGTCTTCGGTGATGTTTGGGCTACTGTCGTTTTCTTCGTTGATGTTGGGGCTACTGTCGTTGTGCTTGGTGATGTTGGGGCTACTGTCGTTGTCTTCGGTGATGTTGGGGCTACTGTCGTTGTGCTTGGTGATGTTGGGGCTACTGTCGTTGTATTCGGTGATGTTTGGGCTATTGTCGTTGTATTCGGTGATGTTTGGGCTATTGTCGTTGTATTCGGTGATGTTTGGGCTATTGTCGTTGTATTCGGTGATGTTTGGGCTGCAGTCGTTGTATTCGGTGATGCAGTGGTCGATACATTAGTAGTTGATGATGATGCTGTTGTTGTCGTTGGACAACTTGGAAGGTTAGCTTTGCCTGTTTTCATTTCGCAGGCAAGGTATCCTAAAGTAACGCCATCTTGGCTCATATCGTCTATACTTGCGTACTTTCTCCAGTTTTCAGGTTTGCTGGCAAGTAACTGCAGCTCCGCTTCGTCTGCTCTGTTTGCTAGACCAATAGCAAACGTTTCTATATTCAATTGTTTCATTTTTGCTACTTCCTTTTGCAATTTGCCTGGATCCGTCGAATTTCCATCTGTCAGAAATACAATTGAAGACTGAACGCTAGGGTCATTGTATCTATTGTTAACCCCGTTTTGAATGGTGTCACAAGCATCTTTAACAGCTCTGTCAGTATAAGTAAACGTTCCTCCGGTGTGGTTCTGGTCTCTGATGTTAATACGTATTTCTATGAAGTCATCGTAGCTTTGGTTGCTTCCAGTTCTCATTGTTAGCAACTGGTTGGTATAATTGGAGTACCAAATTAGCCCAAAATATGTCTGATTGCTGTTGTAGGAATCTTTGTGGTATTGCAACAGCTTTTTCAGTCCTTCTTTCTCACTGTCGTATTCTCTGAAGCACAATTACTAAATAGAATTTTTTTGGAGCTGGTTAAGCAAAATTGTATGCCGTCAAATAGCACTATAAAAAGGATTCCTCGAATCCCTTCGAGCCCCTGAAAAGAAGGTTTTCATTTTTTTTCTGGTTATAAGCAAACATTTATCAACCAATTCTGTTAGACTTAAAACTATATCAAGTTTTTTCTCCCTTTCCCGTTTTCTTCCCCCTTTAAACATCACTTATGAAGAGTTCTGGGCCTAGCGCTCAATCAGTAGATCCAATAGTAAAACAGACCAAATTGGGCAACAGTTTTGACACGGTGATTGGTCGAAATACAAAACTACCGCACTCTTAAAGTGCATAGTCTTACCCGCATTGGAGTTCCATGAATAAAGTCGATTATAATTGAGTTTCCTTGTCAGTGTCCACAAAAGTGAAAACAAATCGATTATAATCAATAAAAAGGGATAATAATACTAGTATTTTTTGAGGCAACAAAATCCTTTTTTCATCCATTATAATCGAGTTTTTTTTCACTTTTGTGGACACTGACAATGAAACTAAGTTATAATCGATTTTTTTCCACTCTACTGAGATGCGAACATCAACGCACATAAAGTTTTTTCTACATTTTAAACTAAAGTTGGTTACGTTGGTTACTTGTTATTCAATTTAATTTTTTTTCTGCCTAATTTTAATTTTTTGTTACTTTTTTATGTTACTCAAAAACTGAACTTTGTTCCTTTCAACAATTTT